CTTCCAAAGGTTAGTCAAGAAGGAACAGGTAACATGAATAGCCCTAAATCTTTTCCTTTTTTTTTTTTTAAGATTATATTTATTTATTTGACAGAGAGAGTGAGAGAACACAAGCGGGGGGGAGGCAGGCAGAAGGTGAAGCAGGCTCCCTGCTGAGCAAGGAGCCTGATGTGGGGCTCGATCCCAGGACCCCAGGATCAGGATCTGAGCTGAACCCAGACGCTTAACTAACTGAGCCACTCAGAAGCCCCGAATAGCCCTAAATCTATTAAAGAAATTGAGTTTATAGCTAAAAACTTCCCACAAGGTAAATTAGGCTTTACTGGCAAACTCTACAACATGCAAAAAAAAAAAAAAAAAAAGAAAGAAAGAAAAATACCAACTCTACACAAACTCTTCCAGAACACTGGCAAACAAACTTCGATCCAAATCCCTCCTCTATCACATCTTTTCTGCCCTCCCCTGAGCAATTCACTCAGACTCTTTGAACCTAGGTATCCTCACATAAAATAGTGGTTGGTGATCATGCTTCACAGCACTGATCCCAAGATCAAGTGAGATAAGATATGTATGGGCCTCAGAAGTGGCACCAGCTGTGGTCTCAGGCTAAGCCTCAGTAAGTGATCTGGGAATGTCCCGGTTGAAGTCCAATCAGGACGCCCTGTTGCCACGTACGACATAGGCTTTCTCTCCCTAACCTGGAAGAGGGCTTCTTAGGCAAACCTACCACAGCTTTAAAGGAAATCTTCGCAGGATGGAGACTTACCGCTCCACTAACCACCTGGAAGAAATGCCTAAGGAGGGGCAGCCTCCCAAATCAAAGAGAATTCCAGGGCTCCTCCAAGCTCCCTCTTCTTGATCGCTGCCCCTACAGATCTGGAAATCATACCCATTCTCTCTGAAGTCACAGTCTCCAGCCCCAAAGTGGCCAGGATGGCCTGGAAATCCTGCTCCATTCCTCTGTCTGGCTCCTTCCTCTGCTCGCTTCAGGCCTTCTTTGCTCAAACCTCCTCTACTGAAACCTCACTTCCCCTCAGTCTCCTTACAAAAAAAAAACAAAAAACAAAAAACAAAAACAAACAACAACTTCCCTTTCTCTACATCCTACTTTTTTGGAGAAAATAGCAGCCCTTTCATCCTTCCACTCCAAATGACCTCTTGCTACATCTTTCCTAGCCTTCTTCTCTTCTGACTCCCTCCTGTGGGGGGCTTGATTCTCAGCTGGGCTTTGGATCAATCCCTCTACCCCATCACTTAGGTATTATCCCCTCTTTTTAGTATATTCAGTTTCTCCCTCCATCATTTGGTTTCTCCTCATTGACCTAAAAGAAAATTATGGTGGTAAAATATACCTACCATAAAATGTACCATTTCCACCATTTTTAAGTGTACCGCTCAGTGGCATTAAGTGCATCCATGCTGTCATACAACCATTACACCATCCGTCTCTAGAACTTCTTCATTGTCCCAAAACAAAACTTTCTACCTATTAAACAATAATTCCTCGCCACCCCCAGAAACCACCATTCTACACTCTGTCTTTATGAATCTGATGACTCTGGGAAGCTGATGTAAGTGCACCCACACAGCACATGCTCTCTTGTGACTGTCTTCCCAGTGACTTGTAAACTTACTCAGTTCTCTCCAATCTAAAAAAAAAAAGAAAAAAGAAAAGAAAAGAAACTGGTGCTGGAACTCTCGACTCTCTAGGACTCCCTGCCCTGCTTCTCTTCTGCCCTACAGAGCTAGCCTTCCTGAAAGAACTGTCCACATTGGCCTTCCCCACTCACTCCTGACCCTAGGCTCCAGTTGGCATCTGGCTTCCCTGCTCTCCCAAACAGCTGCTGACGAAGGTCACCAGTGGCCTCCCTTTGGCCAGAGAGAAAACAATGCTTTCCAGGCCTCACCTCAGTGGGCCTTGGCATCATTGGACATTGCTGATTACCCTCTCTTTTTGTTTTCATTACCCAAAGCCCCTGCAAAGAACTTCTGTCTACACCCTGTCCCTCATGCTTTCATTTGGCCCCACGGTTTCTTTTTTTTTTTTTTTTGGCCCCACTGTTTCATTGCCTCACATATAAAAATGACTGGCAAAGGGACACCTGTGGCTCGGTGGTTGAGCATCTGCCTTTGCCTCAGGGTGTGATCCCGGGGTCCTGGAATCGAGTCCCACATCAGGCTCCCCCCCAGGCAGCCTGCTTCTCCCTCTGCCTGTGTCTCTGCCTCTCTCTCTCTGCATCTCTTATGAATAAGTAAATAAAATCTTTAAAAAAAAAAAAAAGGCAAATTCTCACCTCCAGCCCAGAGGTCACCATTGAGCTCCAACCCCCTCTGTACAGCTTCCTACTTGACATCTCTTCACAGGTCTCTATGAGGCAGCTCAGATTAACCCCATCCAGAACCACAGTTTTTAATCCTACCCTCCTCTCTGACCCTAGCCCACACAACCCAAAATGTCTTCAAGCACTTGCAATCCCAGTGACTTCCAGCCGGCCAACAACACGAGCCAGAAATCCAGTAGCACCTGCAGCCCCTCTCCCTTCACCCCCCGCTGCTGACCCACATGCCAATCCATCTCAAATCCATTCCATTCCATTCTCATGCTTACCCTCATTTCTCCTCTGCAGCAACTGTTAGCATTGCCCTGCAAGAGCCTCCTAACTGTGTCTCCATGCACCGCAGGGCTCTGATCAGATGGATGCCAGCAACCTTTGCAGAGAGCATGTCTGGTCATGCCACAGAGATTAGCCCTGGCTGCAGCACCAGGGCACAGCTCCCCCTTACCTTCAGCCTCAGTGCTCACCACATCCCCACACGTGCTCCCCACCCCCTGGGCCCTTATCTTCCCTTGCCCTGTCCATACATGGCCTCACATAGGCCGTTGTCTCTTTAGGCAAGGCCCTCGCTCTTCTCAACTTCTATACCCACACAGCTGACTCACCTCCTCACGACTCCTGATGTCCCTGACCAGGGAGAGTTTCCCTGAATGGGCTCTGGGAGCACCTTGATCCTGTCCTTTGTAGTTCTCTGTTGCAACCGTCTGTCTCTGCATAGCAACTGATCGCAGCCGTAGGTGGCAGGTGAAGGCACCTAGCCTTCTGGGCTCACCTCTGTATCCCCCAAACCCATCTCAGCGCCACCCCACATGAATGTAAGAGTAGCTATCATCCACTGATGTATATGCCAGGTACTAGGGGCTCTCCGTGGTCTTCTTGCTTATTCTTCCTAACAACCTTGTGCCATGAAGACGGTACTGCTATTCTCCCCTCCACGCCTGAACAGATGGAGGCGTAAGTAACTTATGCATGATCATTTAGCTATTAAGAAGTAGAGCCAGGGTCTCAGCCCTAGGCAGGCTGACTGCAGACCGATGTGCTGACTACTGCATTTCACTCGGTACTGTCCATATTTGTGAAAGGGGGAAGGGAGGGATAGAGGGAGGCAAAGGTAGATCTTCAGGTACCACCTTACACAGAAGTAGAGGTCAAGCTATAGCACTTCCTAAGCTCTCCCACTCCAGGATTTCTTTGACTGGGCCATGAGAAGGAAAAGGAGAAAGAAGAGAAAGCTCATCCCACCTGCTTTGCCTGATTTTCTAGACTTGCCAGGTCCAAGCAGCCATGAAGCTCCAGCCTCATCTCCTCTCGAGGGCAACACAAAGCCATCCCCACCCCCTTGCCAGTGAGACCTGTTTGGATGTCTCCTTCATTGCCTATGTATCTCTGTCCTGCTGATACCACTTTTAAGAATGCCTATTACTCTTTCTCCAAATCCTACCCATCTTTCAAAGCCTACTCTGGTGCCACATGCTCCGGCGCTCCATAGTCTCTTGCTCACCAATCTAGTTCTTTTATTCTGCCCTCTTCTAGTTTATAATACAAGTCTATAAAACCCAAATATGAGGTTAAATAATAAATAGGAACTGAAAACGCATAGAGTCTACCGAGGATATTACAGTGACAAAGAGTGATATTATCACCAAGGGATTTGAGAAAGAACAGAAAACAAAATGGCAGCCACTTGCAAAGAAGTTAAGTTCGTCAATCCCAGTCCCTTCATAGAAAGGTTCCTATGACTGTGGGCCTCAGATGGAAAGTGGGCCATGCAAGAGGCAGCTTCTGCCCAGCTGGGGAGTTCCTGAGGGGCAAACAGCGAAGAGACTGCTGTCTGAGGGAAACAGAAGTAGGGCCTTGTGCCAGAGGGGTGGAGATCTGGAACAGTTCAAAGGGCACTTATGATCACTCCCAGGATGTGCTCCCCGGCCACAGAGTCCCAGGCAATGTAGAGTTTTATGTCACTGACATAAAAACACCCAAGGTTTATGTGCTTACACAGAGAACAACAAACATTGATAGTTGTGAGCAAGGTGAATGTGTTTGTAGACCTCTCACGCTAGTTTTGATATATGGGTCATCGTTTTTTTGTTTGTTTGTTTGTTTTTGCTTTTTTACCACTCATTAAATTTATTAACAGAACTTTGTGGCAAGAGTATTTCTCAAGTCCCCATTAGTTTTGAGAAATCAGTATGTGCTACCTGGAAACACTTCAGGAAACTAATTCTCTTGCAGAATTCATGAGGGCAATGCAACACTTCTAGTGCCGTAAAACACATCATCATCTGGTGATGTCTTATGATACTTGTAAACTATGTTATAGTTTATGAAACACACCCACATTTATTGCTCCCCTTGCGTTTCACAGTATCCCTCACTCTGATATTCTCTGCCATGTTGTCCCTCATGCAATACTCACATACAACCTGGCATCTATGGAGACAGCAGAACTCTGCTTTCTCAGGGCACTGGACACCTCTGTTAATGCCATCTGATGCCATCGGGGCTTTTTCATGAACACATCACCAGGCTGGGTCTTAGAATGACCTCAGGAAGGTCATGGGACTTAATTTGGCAGTTCTGCTATGCTCCCAGTAGGTGGGTTCTACATTAGGATCTATACTGTGATCCTTCTCTCACTCCAGATCCACACAGAAGAAATTTTACCTGAGAGTTCATCAGGCGAATGGTGGTTTTCGTGCCCACATCTTGTTGGAAACTGGCTGTGGGTGCCCCATTAAACCTCAGGACTGCGTCATGATCATCTATAAACCACAAGGAAAAAGAAAAGAGGTGATGAGCACCAGCAACAAGCAGAAACAGAGGAAGGTCTGGAGGGAGAGAGGGCAGGAAGAAGGGGAGGGGCAAGAGAATACTACTTCCTAATCTTTATCCCATCATGATCCCCATCACAAGAGAAAAGGATCATATTTATATGGAGCATTCTGGTACAGTTTGTAGACAGAGATGACCACCCACCTGCCTGGCAAAACCTAACGAGGCTCGTATTGTTGCATCCCTGAAATCCATTCCATGACTCCAGTATGCCTGGGCACAACAGAAAGGTGAATAGGGCCAGCGTGCTACCTCAGATGTAATCACTATCCCAGTTACCAAAGGAGCAAACCAGGTATTCTCTTGGTGTTACCAGTAGGTCACACTTCCACCTCCATCAGAAAAATGAAGACGCTTCCCTAAGCTCAGTGTAACCCACAAGTGCAAAGTCCACATAGCACTCTGAAAAGCTTGCTATGCTCAGTAAATTGGAGAGATTTATGGTATCCAAGACAACTCCCTGAGTGTTCCATTATGAACCTGAGGCCCAGGAAGGCTCACAAACCTGAGTGGTGGTAGAGATGGAATAGAAGGTCAGAGATCGAAACTAAATCCCACATTTTCTATTTCTTTGTCAGAAATAGTGTCCTAAATCCAGGCAAAATCAGACAGATCATGTTTTTAAAAATTCATTCACACCTGGCTCTAGTTCCCTGTCCCTTGTAGCTGTTTCGGCAGAGATTGGAAGACTTGGAGAATTTTTTCTATTTGGCTTTGACCAATCTTCTGAGGGGAGGACTAATGACTTTTAAGCTCTATCCCAATCCTGAGCCAACCTCCCATGAGCTCATCCTAACCTTACTTGATTCAAGCAAGTTTAGGGTTCACCACTGCAATCTGCACAAGGTTTGGAGGCCAACCCAATTTTCTGTTGTTTTATTTCCCTCCTCGTGGGAAATGTATTTGGGGTGGTTCTTCATCCACAAAGGTGACACAGAAGGTGAGGGGCGGGAGGAACTTGGCTCAACACAAAATGATCTGTAAAAACAATGCCCATGGAATTAAGAGATGAAAGCCTCCCTCTTTACTTCACTTCTAACATAGTTTTTAAGCCTCAGGGGTCTAGACATATCATCTAGTCACAAAAACAACCCTATCTCCGTCCTGGGACAAAACTCATCAAAACGGTTTGAAAATTCCATGAGATGTACATAGTCCAAACTTTATCACCCTCCAGGGCAGACCCCCTGAACTGCAAATAGGGCAGAAGGCACACCTTTACACAACTCAGATTGCAACACGCTTGTCATCAGCCGCTGGCTTCGAAAATGACTGGCAGTAATCACACCAGAAAAGCAGATCCATCAGAAGCTTCACTTGGTCAGCTTCTCCATTTCACAGGTGAGCAAATGACTAATCTGAGCATCCCAGTACCCAAACAGGACCAACTCCGACGGAGTCACTGAGAACTGGATAAAAGGATTATTTACAAAGTTGTAGGCAGAATTTAAAGAAATCCACAGGGAACGGCCAATACCCCAGGGTTGGCTGCAGCAGGGGCCACTACTGGCCTGCCCCGGATGTGGCAAGAAGAGCAGAGGCCCCGAGCTGAAGAAGGCCACTTGTGCGCAATGGTGGCCCGTAGGGAAACATGGCTATGGCTGATGTCTAGCCAGCAAGGATGGAATCGGTACCCCAACCTCTCTCTCCTCCTTCCCTTGGCTTCTTGGCCTGAGGGAAAAGAGAGAGAGACTCAGAGACAGAGAGGCACTTGAAAGGGGCCAGACTGTGAGCTGAGAAAGAAGCAGCCTGTGAGCATTCTGCAGTGATAGAGCTGGGGGGGGGGTTAGTGAGCGAGGGACAGACACCCCAACTTCACTCTCTTCCTTCTCAGTTTTGGAGGACTTCTACTGTCTGGTCCCAAATAAAAGCCAGAGAGCATGGAATCCCAAGTGATACAGTCCCAAATTTAACCTCTCAGGGCCCAAAGTGAGCCAAAAAAGGGAAGAGCATGGGGCCGAGGGGTAAATGGAGAGCATCCAGCATAAGGGAGGCTTAGGAGCCATCCCTGGTACTGACCATAAGAAAAGAAAAATGTATTTGTTCACTTAACAAATACTGACTAAGCACCTACTCCCGTCAGGCACAGTTCTAGGCACTGGAGACAATGGCTGTGAGCTAGAAAGACAAGGTCCTTGCCCTCAGAGCTCTTGCCATCCACAGCAAGGAGGGAGCCAACAAAGAAGCACAACCAGCTGCACGTGGGACGGTTACAGTCTATGATTAATACCACGGCACGAATAAACTAGGCGGTGTGACAGAGATCCTGCGGGAATCTCCTGTGGACAGAGGGAGGATTCAGGAGCATGCCTTTGAGCTGAACCCAAAGGAGGGCCACCCACGGGGAGGGTCCCGGGAAGCACGTTCCAGCCAGAGGAGGTAGTGTCATCGGGGCCCCAAGGACAGTAAGGACTTGGCTGGAGACGAGTGAGTGAGGGGAAGAAAAAGAAAAATGCAGCTAAAGAAGCTGGCAGGAACCAGGCCACACAGGGTGTGGAGGCCAGGTACGAAGTCTGGATTTTATTCTAAGGAGAAAAAAATATATATCAGTCAAAGAAGATAACTCTAAAATTGACTACTAAATTGGGCTCCTAAAGAAAGAGGACGGCGGCCTTGTTCACCAAACTATCTTTTGCTATTGGAGGCTGAAGAAGTCCTCAAGTCAGACAGGCCTCTAGGAAATCACCAGCAGAGAAATCCACAGCTACCGGGACCCCCGCAAATGAGCCTTTGCCAGGGGGAGGCTGCAGAACACAGCGGCCACCACTGTTGTTGAGCTTAGAATGAGACAACAGAAAAAGACACAAATTAGAAAATGCGGAAATAAATGCACCACCATGTGCATGTCTAGAATATTCAACAGAGTCAGCTCCTTAGTAAATTCATCAATACATCAAAATCCACGGTCTGCAGGTATAGTAGCTCTAAATAGCTGGAAATTGGAATGAAAGGAATTTTATCACAATTTAGACCAAGCTTTTTTTAGATTTTCAAGTTAGCTTCATGAATCAGGTAATCACATTTGGGAGGCTATATTCTGCTCCCGGTTAGGAAAATTAGATATAATACACATCAGGGCCAGACAATTATGGCCTTTGAAGGCAAAAATCTGGCCTGTTCTCCGTTTTGGTTAATAAAATTTTACTGGAACATAGCCAGGCCCGTTCATTTACTACTGTCTAGTTTGCTTTTGCACTACGACAGCAGAGTTGAGTAGCTGCGAGAGACACTGTATGACCTCAACACCAAAAATATTTGCCATCCGGCCCTTTACAGGAAGTGTTTGCTGACCCCTGATAGAAGCAATCCTATTTTCCGAGCTACACAATCCAAGGATGTCTTCTCAGACCTCCCTCTGCACAGAACCCCATCTGCCCCAAATCTACCCAAACTCTGCTCCCCTTGCCTCCCATCATAAGGCATACACCTGCTTCTCCCTGTTCCTTCTCTCTGGCCTTCAGAAAGCCTGCCTTCCCAGTTCTTTCCCTTACATCTTGTCCCTTACATCTCTACACTTTCCGGAGGCTTTCTCCTGAGCCCTCTCTCCTGACTACAACTACCGCCTAAGGACAAATGACCCCTGCCTGAATCTGATCTCCCCGCCCACAAGCCCCCCCCCCACACACACCTGACTCTTCCCCCAGAATCAAAAGCCTAACCGCATAGATATCTACTCAGAGAAATCCACAAACACTTCAGATTCAGGCCCTCCCAGACAGCACCTACCCTCCTCCAAAAGCATGCTCCCCTATGATTCGAGATACCCTCCCCCAAGCTAGAGACTCTGGCTCCCATCTGTCCCTCAAGGTCATTTCTAGTTAAATAATTTCTGTCTCTTCTCAAATCAGAACTGTTCTTTCCACCACCACCACGATCACTGCTCCAGCAGGCCTGGCACTTCTCATCCAGAAGTGGCAATAATCCCTGAGAATAGATTACATAGCACTCCCCCTAGACAAGGGGGTTCAGAGAAATGAGAAATCCCTCCAAAATGCACATGATCTCATCACTAGCTTGCTGAAAACCCTTCTAGGACTCTATGGCTTAAAGAACAAAACCCAGAGTCTTTTCTGTGACCGTCAACATCCTGTGGGGGCTGTCCCTTGCCTATCTTTCTGGCCTGGCTCCTCAGCCCCTTCACCCTACAGGGCCCCCCAACATGCTCTGCATTTTGTCCCAGGCAGCCTTTGCCTCTTGCTTTTGCCTCAACTCAGAGTGTGCTTCTCCTTCCCGTGGGAGAGCAAGTAAGCAAGAATATCACGGGATTGCTTTTTTTCACCTGACAAGAGATTCATCACACCAAAAACTTTATTATAAAGCTACAACTGGGGCACCTGCGTGGCTCAGTGGTTTAGCATCTGCCCTCAGCTCAGGGAGTGATCCCTGGGGCCATGGGATTGAGTCCTGCATCAGGCTCCCCGCAGGGAACCTGCTTCTCCCTCTGCAGATGTCTCTGCCTCTCTCTGTGTCTCTTGTGAATAAATAAAATCTAAAAAATAATAAAATAAATAAAATAAAATATAAAAAATAAAATAAAATAAAATAAAATAAAATAAAATAAAATAAAATAAATAAAATAAAGCTACAACCCCTGCAGGCACAAGAGCAGAGCGAGTGAGCATGCAGGCCTTGGAGTCGAAGGACCCGGTTTCAAGTCCCAGTCCACTATTTATCCGTTACATAATCTCTTTGAGCCTCAACAGTCAGCTAGTAAATTAAAAGGGAACAATAATCATCAGTTAAATGGGAACAACAATCATCCCTACGTCACAGGATTACCGAGGAGGATTAGAAAGCAAAACATGCTGGGTGCACAGCAGGTGCACAATAAGCGTTACTCCGATTGGTTACAATGTTTGAGAAATACTCTTATTGTTTGAAATGAAAACTCAAACAAATCTAAGTCACCTTACATGTACATGTAACAAAAATAATTGAAAATGACTGTGCCCACCACGGTTGGCTGGTTTCAGGGGCTACTGGAGATAACAGTACATTATTACAATCCCTCTGGTAAGCAATTTTGCAATGGACAAAAAAGAGCCATAAAACTTATCTTACTTTGGTCTTCTAGCCCCATGACTGTGGATATTTTCCCTTTGGTCACTTAAGTTACCTGCACAAAAACCCTGTCAACAGTACAATTTGTAAGAGCAAACAATTCAAAACCATTTGGTACACTCAATACCCGGCAATAAGCAGAACAAATTCCAGGTATAGTGGGAAGGCCGTGGGCCTGACACGCTGTCTGATACTCCAGGCCTTCGGCAAAGAGCTTTCCCCTTTGTCTTCTGAGACCCGCTCTGTGTTGTTGAAAGATCCACAAATGAATAAAAGAATGAATGAATTCCTTAAAACATTTGTTAGACTAAATGCCCAGGGGATTGCCCTAAGAAAAGGGAGGAAGCTGGAAGTCCAACATGCAATGTTTGTTACATCCCAAGAGCAAAGTCTTCCCATGGTAATTCATACCTGAAATTATAACTGTAGTCTACAGAAAAAAAATTATTTTACTGTGTATGTAAGTCACTTGCAAACTTTCATGGAGTGCATAAAGACTGTAGTTCCAATTCATAGAAGTATCAGGCTCTGCCTCAAACTCAGCCAGTTCCAGCCAGGCTGTCAATGATGAGCTAACACAGAGAGGAGGATCAGTTAGCACCTGGGATATTGGAGACAAAGTCAGGAAGAAAGAAAGGAATTTAGCTCCATTATGGGTGAACAAAAAGCAATCACACGGAGCTTCTAGAAAACAAAACCCAGAAGAAATCAAAAAGGCAAACGCCAAAGTTGGGGTGGGGCGGATTATCTTGGCAGCCTTGATTAGTGAGTGCTGCCTATTTGGGGAGGCACAAGATGTGACCTCATCACTTCTTTCTGCTCCAGGGAATCCAATTTGGGTCTACTTTTCTGCCTTTGAGAGCCTGTGTTTTCAGACCATTTTTCCTGGCACTCTTAAGAAGGGAATAAAAAAGGAGACATATGACCTCACCTGCTCCAGTACCTTCCAGAGCCGGACAGAAGAGCAAGGCTTCCTGTGCTTTTTGCTTCCTTTAGCCTGATTCATTTCACAATAATGGAAAACACAACTAGGGAGCCTTAAGCAAGGCCATTGCTTTGTGCTGTACACATGTTTACAAACATGGACAGACTCTCCATCTTTATGAAACTGTGAGGATTTCAGAAAGAAAGAAAAAAAATCAAGTTGATATATCTGACCAGTGGCTTTCAGCCAAGTCACAGAGAACTCTCAGAAAAATCGATGAGAAGCTATGGACTTTCTCTCTGGAACAATGTACGGACTGACTTAACAAAAATAACACACACACTTTATACACACCTAATCCATAGGCATCTTCCACACAATTTTAGGGACTCATGAACCCCCTAAGTTTGGTCCACAGCCCCCAAGTTAAGAATTCCCACTCTAATTAGTGATTTTCAAACAGAAAGGCTGAAAATTACTCAGACAGGTGAGGCCAAATGAGGCAATTAGTCTCCGACTAGCCAGTACAAGTACAGAACTTCAGAACCTGAAGATACAGGAGAAATCAGTGCTTCTACTGTTTTTAAGTCAACTATAGGGTTGTGCTTATCACTCAGGGCAGATTTCACTTTTCCAACGGTATCGTCTGTAGAACAGCAATATTATACCCAGAAATGCTGGGTGCGATCGTCTAGGCTCTGGCATATTGGTTTTCTCTTTTTCTCTTCTCCCTTGACTATATAAGAGCTACTTCATTTTAACTTATTATGGTGATCATGTAAGTAAGACAAAAAGGAAAGAAAAATGTACCTCTTTTACTGGAATAATGTTTATGATTACAAGTGAAATAAGGCATTTTTTATCAACATAAAGGCAACCTTGGCTTATACAACCTCTTTTCGATCATGAATACTGACATCTTTACTGCACTCACTACCAATAATAAATATATTTTCCAAAGGGCGGGGGGGGGGGGGGGGACAGAGAAAACAGAGAAAAGCAAAGCTGTTCCCATTGATAAGGGTGCTGGGGGCCTGGATGGATCTTCACCCTTTCGGCCGCCCCCCTGCTCCCTCTGAGTCCACAAGAAGGCCAGAGGATGCTGCAGGGAGCGCAGCACTAGCTCACGGGACCAGAGTGGGGCCGTGCCAGTCCTGTCCACACACCCCACTCCATAGGAGGAGTCTTCACACTCCAGAACCCACCTATTTCTCGGCCCAGCTGGGAGGACTTCAGGGATCCGGCTGAGGAGACAACAGCACACCTGCCCCATGGCCCAGCCTTGGTCCTAATGTTCTCCTTGGGTAGGAAACCCTCCCATTCGGAGGTGTTGAAGGGAAAATCTGTGGCCTCTACCATGGAGACGTTCACGTGGTCCCGGAGATGGCAGTGCAGGGCCTCCGCACTGAACTTGACCCCCGGCCCTGGCCCCTTGTAGGACACTTTATACTTATTCATGTTCAGATAATTTCTCCAGATCTTCTGCAGCCTGGGGATGAGGTTTTTGGAAGAGCTGTCCTTGTTCCACACCTGGAAGGAGGCCTCTGACTTGGCCTTGACTGGGCCCCGGGGACTGCTGAGGGCCTGGCTGGCCCTGGGGGGGTTCTGAGTGCTGCTCAAAGTCGCAGCCTGTTTTTCCAGCCCTCTCACCATCTGGAATTCCTTGGTTTGCAACTTGAGGGAATCATAGTAACTCCCTTTCTTCTTCTCCTTCCACACACAGATGACTGCAAACAGGAGAAAGGCCAACACGCAGCAGCTGAACTTTTTCTTCAAGTTGGTATGAATCATAATGAAAGATGTGTTCAGGGCAGCCACTCTGTGCTGAGTAGAAAACAAGCCTAAAAAAGGTAAGAGGAGGCAACAAAAAAAAAAAAAAAAAAAAAAGATGTGAACAAAATCTAGTGACCGGCAGGAGGTGGGGCAATGAGCTGGGCAATGGATTCAGAGTGAAGGGACTCATTTCCAGTCCATCTACCTCCCACCAGGCTTGCAGCCTGCAGCTCCTTGGAGCCAACATTCAGCCTCAGTCTGAGCTTTGAATGTAGACTGCGGGCCTCAGACACTCCCTTTTTCCTCTCTAAACCATGAACACTTTCTGTATTCTCCGACCATTCCTTCTCACACACTAGCTCCCTGACTACCTGAGCTTGGTGAGGTCAGGAACCATCTACGCATCGCTGGTCTCCTGGGGCCTTATGCTATCTGTTCAACAAAGGTACATATGCTTGGAAAACAGGAGGAAAAAAAAGGAAGAGCAGGATGACTGGTCTACCTGACAAGAATCCAAACTCCCAAAAAATGCGTAGAGGCCCACCATCCTTTTAAAATTGCCAGAAAAAGGGGATCCCTGGGTGGCTCAGTGGTTCAGCACCTGCCTTTGGCCCAGGGTGTGATCCTGGAGTCCTGGGATGGAGTCCCGCGTCGGGCTCCCTGCATGGAGCCTGCTTCTCCCTCTGCCTGTGTCTCTGCCTCTCTCTATATATATATCTATGAATAAATAAAATTTTTTAAAAAAATAAGTAAAATAAAAAATAAAATTGCCAGCAAGAGGGACGCCTGGGTGGCTCAGTGGTTGAGCATCTGCTTTCGGCTCAGGTCGTGATCCCAGAGTCCCAGGATCAAGTTCCGCATTGGGCTCCCTGCAGGGAGCCTGCTTCTCACTCTGCCTGTGTCTCTGTCTCTGTCTCTCTCTCTCTCTCTCTCTGTGTGTCTCTCATGAATAAATACAATCTTTAAAAAAATTTTTTTAAATAAAGTAGATAAATAAAATTGCAAAAAAAGAGACCTCTGTCCAGAGACAGTGCCAGAGACCTGGGACGCATCTCTTTAGAAGCTGCGGTGTTGGACTCCTGCTTGAGAAGAAGACCACCAGTTAGCTTATAATGTAAACTCAGTTTCACGGAGTGCCCTGCGAGAGCACTATCAAGTGGCAAGGAAGCAGCCTCACCTCATGGTAAAGGAGAGGACATCCTGGGAAGACAGCAGACACATAACCAATTAAAGAGATAAAAAGAGAGGTGCCTAAAGCATGTCAGGTGTTCTTTCATGTTATTTCGCCATAAACCAGGGCTCTGTCATGTACGGCTCCAGCCAGTACCACGCACATGACAGTCTAGCAGGAAGGGCATCCTCTATGCTGTGCGGAGAGGCCCTGACCATCCCTGGCCAGGAGGGTGTCATAATCTCTGTATTTATAGATTAGAAGCCTGAGGCTCTGGGAGGTTAAGAGAAGTGCCTAGCATCACAAAGCTGAGTAAATGGTAGTGATGAAGTTCAAATCCAAGTGCACTTAATTCCATAATCCATGTCCTTTTCAGCATAAACATGCACGAAACTGCTTAAAGTTCTGGCAAATGGATTTTCTTTATACAAATAGAGCCTAATGGTCCCTTTCATATCTGGGTAAAGCCCTACTTTGTTTTCCCAGAATTTATTGTGTAACTGAACGGAAGATGGAAGTACTTTGAACTCAAACAATGTCTGTATCTTTTGGAAAACATTAAGTTCTTTCCTAAATAACTGGGTCTATTTACCGTAATGAGTCTAAGCAATCACCTGTGCAGTTTTGCTAACCCACTAGGGATCCATAGTTTCTTCCCTTGGAGCCCAGTGCTAAGATATCCAGGACAAGGGGTAGGAGTCCTGGACTAGGTGTCCACAAAACCTGAGTTCTCTCCCCATTATTGGTGACTTTGGGCAAGTCACTAAACCTGTCTCTCTCTACCTGGGTTTTCTGTGAGTAATCTCTCACTCAGGTGTGCTAGGAGGACCAGCAGAAATGGTGTTTGATCTAGATCATCACTGCAAAGGCACAGGAAGTGTTCTGAACACAGACCAGAGGGCAGCCCCTTGGCTGAGGGCCACATGGAGGCCATGTGGGACCCGGAAAGATGGCAGAGTGGAACACTGGCCATGATTCCTCAACCTGAGTTTCAGGTCCTCCTCTGGACTCTTTAATGTAAGTGACATCCAGGCTGTTTCCAGAATCCATGGGCAGTACCGGTGATACCATGCTTCCCATCACCCCAGACCTCAAGAGCCAGTGGATCTGGGGAGAATGGGTGCTTGCCTGGAGCTGTGGAAGTCTGAGAAGTGATACAATGTACATAGAGGGAAAAAAACCTCAAATATGGGATCATGAAATGGGTTGAGGGGGGTGCTGCTTACAGGTCAGAAAACTAAGGAACTCAACTTCCTCAGATACTTGCTCAGCTGATCACATGGCTAGGGTAGCTAAGGAGCTCAAGAAGAAAGAGAAGGGTGCTTCCCATATCGTAGGCACTTTAGTTGCAAGGTCTAATTTAATATTTACTGTGACACAATGGAACAGATATTCACGGCCCCCCTGGAGAAGATGAAAACACTGAGGCTTAGTAAAGCTCCAGGGCTTCTCCAAAGTCAACAGGTGGTCGGAGCCAGAACCAGAATTCCAACCCAGGTCTGTCTGACTCTAAAAGTTCACGGTCTGTGCGTTCAAAGACAGGCATCTATATTAAAAGACAGAGAAAAGTGTTGACCAAACAGGACTCAGAAATCAGGGGCTCTAAGAGGGACAAGCCAATCTGTCAGATGATCACAGGAAAACCACCTCTGCCATCAGCATGTCCCAGACCTGACCCGTCTGCATGCACCAGGTTACCCTCAGGCAGCTCCTTCACAGTAATTAGGCTTTTGAGACCCAGAATAACCCTGTCATGTAAGCAGAGCAAATCGTCTTGGCTCCATTTAGAGTTGAAAAAGCTGCGGTTTTATATATCCACGTTTATTATTTATTTAATCTCCACAGTTGCATGAGTGATTTGGAAGTGGCACAGTTGCGAACTGGGATTTAACTTTTATGTGTATAAGGAAAGTGAGACAAGAGGTAGGGAGGCAGGCCCCGATTCACTGCATAGGAACTCAGGCTCGGAAGGGGCCGGTGGTCACCTTCCTGCTAAGACCGACTCTAGAAGGTTGAGGGTCTCAGAAGAGCTCCTCCAAAAAGCCGGCACAATAGTCCTGCAACTTTGAGACAGCCCGAGGCTTCAGGGTCACGGCACCAGGACACTCATCTGAAAGCTCACCTCAGGGCTCCCTAGGTGTCCTGACACCACCCTCTCTTGGGGCTCCCAGTCCAACGGCTGGCTGGAGCTTCTGCTCATAAGACACAGAGAGCTTCAAGACCCTTGTTTCCCTCTCCAGCTGCTCTAAAGAGGCACGATGGAAGCAGTTTCCTTCAGCCCAAGCTGAAGGAAAGGAGTAGTATATTTTTCTCCCCTAATTCTTTGGGAAAACACATCAAGCTTTGGATTTTCCAGATGTCTTAGCCTCTGGGCCTTTTCACTGCTGTAGTCTCTCCTTGTCCATTTGCCTGGCAACTAGACAGTGTTACCTTTCTGCTTCTGACCTCCCATGAAGCCCCCTCCCACTCGTTTTTAGCGTTTAGCAATGCTCGCTATTCCTGCTGACCGCCTGCTAGAGGGGAACCCCTCCTGGCGCATTCCTGAAACCCCAATGTCCAGCACAGTACCTGAAACTGACTGGGTACTCAATAAAGGATTACTGAGCTGATGGGACTATATCAATAAATCCTTAACCATCCCCACCAGGCTTCTAGAAGAATATGGTAAGAGCCCACATTGTCACCTATAGAGAACAAGCCAACACTGAACCAAGAGAAAATCTCAAAGTAAGGTTCCTGCCCTGATTTACTCATCACTACATGAGTACCAAAGGTGGGCTTGGCACAAAGTAGGTGCTCAAAAATGGTGGACTGAACCCCAGAATAACTTCAAGTCTAACACTTACCAGTTATAGACACAGGAAAACCATCTATCCCCACCCCTCACCGAATCAGAACTAAAAAAAAAAAAAAAAAAAAAAAAAAAGATGAAGAAAACAGCAAAGCCATAGTCAGACATTGAGACTCTGACTCCCGGCCACACACTCCATCGCCCCATTCTTCAATTAGGAATGTACCCCTTTGCTGCTCCCATAGCCCATGCCTTCAGGTGTTCCTTACCTGCTTTTGGCTAATCCCCCTGGGGCTGCAGGCCCTGCAGGTCCTCAGAAATCAGTGCTCTTCTCCATGGGAGGAATGTATGCTTTATTGGATCTGGAGGCCAAGGCTCATTTTTCTCCGGATGATCAAAAAACATCTGCAAAGGCCAAAATGAAAAAAAAGAAAAGAAAAGGGAAAAAACAACAAAGAGGAGGTTAGGGGCTGGTTTCCAGCAGGGGCAGGGTTAAATATTAACAAGGTAGACAGGCCCCTCAGCTAGTTTCCTGGCCTCCGCTACAGCTTGATCCAGGAAGCCTGGAGAGCTCAGAAAAAGAAACAGAGACAAGAGCCCATTATAGGTGCTGTGCTCAGAGTCGTGAGTAGCAGAGAAGGCCTAGAAATAGACTGATACTAGATAAGAACATGCTAGAAGGATAAAGCAGTCCCCACAGACCAATGTAGGAAGGAAGGATTATTCAGTCACTGGTTTGGGGATACATAAATAGTAATTTGGTGAGAGAAGATTCGGATCATCCCTAAATACCCTCTAGACAGATTTTCTTTTATTTATTATCAAAGAATACTTTCTTTGAAACTTCGATCAGTATAATGCTAACTAGAAAAAAGAGATTGTAAAACTGTATATCATATTCTCATCAAATCCATGAAAATTGTTCTTTAAGGTACCTGTAAAAAGAGAAAGGACTAGAAACAGAACAAGATAAGATAACCCTGGACGGTAGAATAATGAATGGGTTTTCACGTTTTACAATTTTTTGTATATTCCAAAATTTCTAAAATGTATATGCATTACTCTTAGAGTTGGAAAAAATATTATAAAAATATAATTTGAAAACGCTAAAAACAGACTTCTATATTTGTCAGCTCTTTCTTCTGACAGAATATAGAAAAATAATAAAAGACAACTTTAATAGTCACTTGCATGAAAACTCTCTCTTGTCTCCAAGAAAATGCTGTGATTAAAAGGAAATAAAGAGTCCAGCTGTGCAAAGGGTAAAGAGAGTCAAAGCTCCTCAAAATAAACAGGCACTCCACATGAATGGACAAATCACAAAACAGGAAACATAATTAACAAGCATATAAAATGATGATGAATCTTGATAGAAACCCAAAAGTGACAACTGGCATGTTAAGATGCTGGTTTATGGAATTTATATCAAACAGCAGTTTTCAAAATGATTAATATCATTACTGAACAGGTTGTAATAGAATTGGTATATTCTGAGGGAGCAGTAAAAATTAGAAGATACCAGGTCATAGAATTAAGAGCTTATGACCATCAACCAAGTTATCATACTTGTAGGAAAAAAGACAACAAATGATTGAAAGATCAAGACGACATATTCTGGTTTCCTTGCACATAAATGACTCCCTACCTTCCACAGTAGTGGTGAGATTTAGAAGAGGATCAGTGGGATAAAGAAAGAGTTTTATAAAGCAATATGTACATGCAAGAAAAAAAGCAGTTTTCAATTACAAAGTGATTTCTAATGGTGAAAATCTAAGGCTAACAACTAGGCTTTCAGCAAAAGGGAAATAGTCAAACCAGGGTACCTCTACCTGATAGACTATACACATATATATTATGTATTAGCAATATTAATTTAAAATATATAAGGTAATATGTGATAACATAATATATATAATTGCATGTGAATTCTGTAGCAATAAGGGGGAAAATTCTTCATATATTAAAACAAAAAAAGTAAAACAGAGAATGTTATCTCTGCAAAAATCATTGTGATGAAAAGTTACTCATGTTCAAATAACTAGAAGAAAGGTACAAGATTGAGACCTGAAAACAGCTGAGGAGCAAGCTGAGCAAGGAGTCCTCTCTCAGTTTGACTTCTTTTATTATGCTTATTATGTTACCAGAATAATTAGGCAAAACAACATGTTAGGAACAATATTGAAAATACACTTGGACCCTGTATATCAACTCCATACCCACTCCTGGGCTGATCTCAAAGCCCATCCTAGGAGACGCAGCACGAAGAGCTCAGAGGAAGTCACAGTGGCCACAAGTGGCTCCCTCCCATGACCTAAGGGGAAGCCCCCACCTGGCAGGCCTGGGGTTCAGACTGGCAGGTGGGCAGGTGTGGGCACCAGGCAGGTCCGACGGGGCAAAAGTGAGAGGTGTTGGGGTGATCTTGTCAAAAACCCAGGGCTCTCATTAGTTCAAAGAACTGGCTCCTGGGTAGACTCCTGGTTGAATCCTAGAATATCTCTGATAGCTCTACCTCTTTTCATGTCACATATGTGTCCTTCGTGGTGCGAGTCTGTAATTATGCATGCATTCATATTATTATATGATTACCATCTGGCTCCGCTACTAAAAATGTAAACTCCTTCGGTAGAAACCTTGCCAGCCTTCATCGCTACTATCTTCAATGCCTAGACGAGTGTCTGGCACATGGTAAATACTCAATCAGTATTTGTTGAACGAAGGATCACCAGCTCTTAAGAGGTCTACGCTTTCCTCAGGCATCACTGATGGAAAATATTCTTTCTTGGCACCCTCCTGAGGAACACTGCAGGTAGGCCCCCTGCCCTTTAGATGATGCCTCTAGCTTATGAATGTGGTTTGCTGCCATTCCCCTAAGCTGTGGGGCAGGTGACTTCAGTTTGAATTCAGGACACAGACAGCAGAAGAGTGCAGCTAACGCAGATCTTCCTCCCCTTATCAATCACATCTGCTCAGAACAACTTCGTCTCTTAGGAGATTACAACCACTTCCTGCTCTTGATTTCTAAAAACTGACTAATTGAAACAAAGTAGAGCAACTGTTGATGTACATCTATCATACGTGATGAGAGTCTTCCAGAAATTTCACTGCTGCTCATGAGATTGCAGCTGTGGTGAACTTCAACCAGCCGCAGAAGTTCTACAGAAGCCTCAATTCTCCAGGTGAGAAATTAGAGCAATCAATGACAATAACAGTTACCACTTACTTAGCACCAGCTATGTGCTCAGCATTGACTAGGGGTTAAGGGTTAGAACTCTGGGCGGGGGGTGTTGGTGGTGTTGGTGGTGTTGGTGGTGGTGGTGGTTAGAAAGATCAGGGCAAGAGTTCAAACCATCTTGCACCAGTTATATGACCTCCGGCAAGCTACTCAACCCTCAAAGACTCAGCTTCTTTATCTATAAAATGAGAATACTAATAAAAGAGCCAGAAGCACCTGGGTAGCTCTGGTTGGGTGTCTGTCTTTGGCTGGGGTCATGGTCCCAGGGTCCTGGGATCAAGTCCCACATCGGGCTCCCTGTGGGGAGCCTGCTTCTCCCTCTGCCTATGTCTCAGCCTCTCTCTGTGTGTCTCATGAATAAAAAATATAAAATAAAATCTTAAAAAAATTAAAAAGCCACTCTCATAGCATTATTTAAATAAACAAGTAAGGGATTACACTCAAAGGGATTACAATAGGGCACGTGACAGAGATTATACACATTATTTCATTGACTCCTCACCAGGCCCTACCCAGTGCAAACCATTACTGTCCCAACTACAAATAGGGAAACTAAAATAAGGAAGAGGAGTAATTTTCTCAGACTAACTCACTTGTGACCCTCCAAATGTCCTACTCTTTCGTCCTTTGTCCTTTGTTGCCTCGCAAGGCAAGTTCCTTCAGATGAAATGTCCTTTCCTACCCTGTTCACACGAGGCCACAGCCACTCAGCCCCATCTCCCACTCCCTTTCCACCCCCCTATACCAGCTTAGGTGCCCCTGGACCCTGAAGAGTTTCTTGACCCCACAGAGATCAAGACTCCATGGTGCCTGTTCTGGCGCTCCAGAGACTACATGACATTTATCTGGTGGCAGGTCTATCCCACCCAGACTGAGGTTCCTTTAAAGGTTTATTTCTGGCCCCTCCACTTCTAGCCAGGTCTGAGCCATAAGTGGGACGTGTTCAGTCATGTCTGAATGAAAGAATGAAGCTGGCTCCAATACCACCCTTCCCCATTTCCCATGTCCTTCGACTGCTAGACCGGCACTCACTCAGCCACCCATCACTGCCAGTGGCTAGAATCACCTCGGCAGCATTGTCACCGCAGAAGTCCATTTTGTCTATTGGAGACACAAGTGACAGGGAATTTACCACCACCACCCCCCGGGGGGGGCACTCAGAGTGATGTGAACAGCTCTGCCCCTTAGAAGGTCTTAAAATGAAGAGAAATCAACTCCCTTGTAAGAACTAATCCAGTGGGTTCAGCTCTGCCTTTTGGAGCCACTGAGGCGGGTAGAGCCTGTGCCTGGTGCTGAGAACTTCACACAAACTTGTTTCATCCTCAGACAAACCCATGCAGACCAGGCTGCCTGCGACCCACCTTGGTGAAGTCATTTCCCCTCCACCAGGACACTCTTCTTCGTTCCTTGAATATTTTTGCACTTGGCCCACCATAATCCTCCCCGCACTATTTCTGTCCTTCCTCTTGGGGATATAAACGTCTACCTACAGAACCATTCTAGCTCCCTGGTCTCACAGTTCTTTGAGCTCCTCTACTCCAAAGACTGTGACTTTAGCCACTCACCCCCAAGGTCATATCTCTGATCTTATCATTTTCAAAAAATACTCCACAGTCCTGATTTCAGGCACCACCACCCCCAATCACCACTCCTATCTTTGTAGCTTAGTCCAACTAGTACCGACCTTCGACTATCTTCTCTGGCTATTCCTACCAGCTTCTCACTATCTCTCACTTCATTCATATTCTCACTTCCCTTTCTACCCAGCTTCAACTCCGTGGCCAGGCATTAAATTGGCCTCTCTCATCACACAACGTTGGATAAACCCCAATTCTGGTTAAATCCAACTCTCTGTCTTCCTTCACACCTGCCGGAGTGCAGCTGCAAGGCTTAAGAAAATCACAAAGTAAAACTTAGGGATTTCACCTCAAGTTCATCATCACTAACTTCAAGTAGCGCCTTCATCCTTCCTAGCAATCACATGTTACTTTTTTGGTCAATTCACCCGCCACTCTCCTAGAGAACTATCTGACTTCCTCCCCATGAAAAGTCCCCTCATCTTCCACTTCCCTTGATGAATTTGCTACTTATTCATAGAGAGAAAGGAAGCTATCAGAATAGAATTACCACAGACACAACACACCTTTGTACCACAGCTCCTCACCTTACTTGC